TGACAGATTGGTTCTATTTGAACTTCCTCTTCCCCTAGGATTTCTAACTACGGATTCAAGATGCAAATCTAAAGGGACAAGAGTGGGTCTCAATAAACGACGTCCATGCATGCACAATGCAAAACACAACAAGCACAAAGAATGACAAACACTATGCCTTCACAACAATGCAATTAGACTTCTTCCACAAATACTTAACACATACTCCTATGCTCTAACAACAATGATGTAAAGAATAATTAAAAAAAAAGTCTCCACGCGGGCCAACGATTTAACTAAGGGATTGGGTAAAGAAAGTCTCACAAAGGTCCTTTAGCACTTCAACTCCAAATTTAAAGCTTAGCTTAACAAATTTTTAGCTTTTTACTTTCTTTGCTTTACTTAAATGCTCCTTTACTTGCTTCCTCTCCAATAATGCACCTAGTCAAAGATGAACCACACAATAAGTAAGCAAAAAGAAAAATAAAAATAAAGTAAAGACACGATCAAAAGAGTACTAATCCTAATTGATTCACAATTCTGACGTTGCCTAATCCCCGGCAACGGCGCCAAAAACATGACCGGTGTTCTCGTCGCACTACACCATCAAGTTTGAGAGTGTGAATTTTAAAGCGAGGGCCAAGAGTTTTACATTTATAAAAGCCACTTCTACCTTTCATTATAAATATAGCTAGGGCGAGTAGGGATCGTCCCAAGGGATTGGAGTCGTACTTGGTTGTGGCATCGCAATTAGGGTTAGTAGGTCGAGTGATCAAACAAATGGTTGGTTGGTTGATTAGACTAGAGAGCAACTAAATGAAACTAAGTGATAACAAAAGAATGCAACTAAAAACAAATAAGAGAGAGAAGAGTCTTGGGGTTTAGAGATCACCACCAAGTAATGCATTTCTATACCATTGACAAGTGACTAATGAGGGCAAATGGTGTGTTGCAATATTGGTGTGTGTGTGTGTGTGTGTTTGGTTAATTCAACAAGCAAGGATGGCTAGTTAAGCATGTATTGTCTAAACATCATGTGAAAGGCACAATATATCTAAGTAATAAAGCATATATTATCTAAACAACATGTGAAAGGCACAATAGATCAAAACAAGTCATTAATCCTTTCATTAAGCTCACAATCCAAATACAACACAAGGTTAGAGACATATGCTACTTGCATTCAAAAGCTTGGATCATCAAACAACAAGTATGGATTGTCCTCCCATTTAATACTACACTACAACTACACTACTAGCATGAAAATAAACTAGGGGAGAGGCACAATCCATCAAGGAATAAGTATGAACCATCAAGAAAATCACAAGAGCATTCCATTAAGCACTATGTTTTGACAATCTCTAAATCTATAGCATCAATACACATAGACATGTATTAATAATATAAAATCTAGAGATAAGCACATGAACATCTATTCTAACATACATAGACATATGGATAGAATGAAATGATCAATTGAAATCATTTAACCACAAAAATCATTGAACAATCAAGATCTATATATATCAAAGTGTCAAAACATTAATTATAACACTAATCCCTCAATAATACACAAGATTAAGATAAAGAAAGCATGCTTAGGGCTAACTCTAGCCCCAAGAAGATGTCTAACCACTCATAGTGATGTTGCTCCAACCCTCAAGGGCTAACTCCATGGAAGAAATCTGCTCATTGTTGATGAAGAACTCTAAATGGTGTCTCTAGCCTCCTCCTCTTTTCTTCTACCCTAAAGCTTGCCTACTTTGAGAATAATCCCTAGAACTGTATATATCTCAAAAAGTGCATCATATTCCTTTTATAGGTAGGTCAAGTGACACACAAAATGAGCTGGGGTCAAGCAAAGAATATTCTCTAATGATTGGATAGAGGATAGATTGAACAAGCTGGCTTTTTAACTTTTTCACACTGGAGGAAGTTCGATCGATCGAACCTTGAACTTGGATCGATCGAATTTTGCTGAGATCTATCGAACTGAGGCTGGATCGGTCCAACTGGTTGAGCTTTTTGGGAAAAGACGGATCCGTAATATTTTGGGAGATATTTTTGGGAAAAGGACAAAAGTGGTTAGTGGGTGGACAGCTGTGGATAAGATCAATCATTTGAATAAGGACAAAAGTGTTCGATCGATCGAAGGATGGTGTTGGATCGATCGAACTTTGGACTTTCTGCTTTGGGTCAAGGTTTGGATCTATCTTGAAGTACTGAGATCGATCAGTGTTCGATCGATCAAACCTTGAAGTTGGATCGATCGAACTTTGCTGCTTCCCACCTTTGGCTTCATTTGCTTCTTTCTTTCTCCACTTTGTTCCTTTCTTTGTTTAATCCCAGAATTGCTTCAATTAAGCTCTTATTTGGCTAAGTTAGCTTTTTTTGGGATAAGTGCCTGAAAATGGAAATAATACGAAATCAATCTAAAACGGTAAAGTAAGATAGATAAAGATACTAGAATGCCTAAACTTAAGGGGTTTAAATACGCATTTTTCAGCGCTCAATATAAATAGACCCTTCATGCATTGCAATGATAAGTACAACTCTCACGACTCAGCACAACACAAAATATGCGTAAATTATTTTAAATTAAACACACGTTGACAGGAATATATATATACACACACACACACACATCTTTTGCCTTCTGTTAATGCACAACACATTTTGACAAAATTATCGTAACATTAGATATGTCTAACAGACATTTTAACATATGCTGCATTGTCAAAATGCAGAATACATCCATACAAAAATGCAGTCCAGAAACTTCCCGTCATGTGCAATATTTCATAACCAAGTTTAGGAGTAAAGCATAGTGCGAATTACCACCAATGAACTCATGCATTGGTGCCCTCGATTAATTTTCCCTTACTATGCTTTGACGGCTCTTCATGCCTTGAGGAGGGAGAGGTAGATGGCTTTGGCTGAATTATGTCTTCAACAACTCGGAAGATGCTAACATCCAAGACAACAGCGTCGCTTTTCTCACTGGCAAAGCTTAAACAGACACACATCAAATTCTTCTAAGCTGTTCTCAATAGCAAAACCCTTCCAACCACCAGCTTGTACAACGCTGCGGTTTCTGGAATAAAATATGGTCGGCCATGTATTCTCTATGACACGTAGAGTCACACCTTGGTTTTGAGGCTGGAGAAACTTGCTATCCCATGCAGCAGGGACTGTCTGCAGAGCCTTGACAAATGATAACAGTTACAAGTTCAATCTTGTAGTTGTTGAACTATTGTGCATACTCGAACAAAAATCTTCCTATCTAGATGTTTAAGCAAACTGAAAAAAAAAAAAATTAAATTAAATTAAAAAGGAGGAAGAGGAAAGGAATTTACCATTTGAAATGACCTGTATGCATGTGAAGGTCGCATAACCACTATGAAAATCTCCTCGGTTGAGGATGCAACCGCCATTTGCAGAGCCTTCTCCTTTTCCTCTTCAGTTACAGATCTTCTATTGGATACAAGTTGCACAGAACGGGCTAAATTTCTGCTGATGGGACTTTGTTTAGCATCTGAATCATTAATAAATTAAACAAAAGAAACGAATTATTATTTTATAAAGAAAAAAAAAAAAAAAAAAAAAAAAAAAAAAAAAGAGTATACTCTCTAAAAACTCAAAAACATAACCACATAGAATCACAAATTTTTGGCATTTCAAAAATGCACCCCAACCATAAAATAGAAAAAGGAAAAAAAAAGAAAGCTGCTTGTTTACATAAATGGAATATCCATATAATATTAAGTAATAAATTAGATTTTAAGAAGAGGAAGAAGCATGGTAAAAAATATAAGGTTCTTAGCAGTATAGTACAGTATCATAAAGCAAAGCATTCTTTGAGGAGACTCACCACAATCAACTTTTTCTCCCTCTGCACAAAGTAGTAGGTACTCTGTTTGTTCTGATGAAGTTGCCCTTGATTCTTTACGTGATGCTGAAGATGATGTTGGACGCAATTCATCAAAGAAGAAACGTAGGATGGTTGATAATGTAGTGCCAATGTCATCAAGCAGTCATTCCCGAGGTAATGGAAGGAGTCAGACTCAAGATGGAACTTCAAGACCAATGCCAGACAAAGAAAAACATACCGGACAGTTCTGACGAAGTTGCCCTTGATTCTTTACGTGATGCTGACGATGATGTTGGACGCAATTCATCAAAGAAGAAACGTAAGATGGTTGATAATGTAGTGCCAATGTCATCAAGTAGTCATTCCCGAGGTAATGGAAGGAGTCGTTCTTGCGACGAAGAGATTTAATAGGATTAGTACCCTTTTGAGTCCGACTCCCTTCATTACCTAGTGAATGACTGCTTGATGACATTGGCAATACATTATCAATTTCAATAAAGACAGTGCGTGCGAGTCAAAAATAAATAAAATAGTTTCAATTTTACCTAGTTTAAAGCCAATAATACTCAATTTTTTCTTTTCTTTTCTTTTTGGTGTGCTCTATAACATAAAAGTATAAAGCAAATGGATTTAACTTTAGAAGTCATCAATTTCAATGTAATTTGAAAGTGCTTGACTACTTAATCCATACACTTAGAATTTAAAAAATAAAATAGAATGCTTGAATAAGCACAAAAATAGCCTTCCAAAAAAAAAAAACCTCAAACTTTTAGGTATCATTTTATTATTATTGTTATTTTTTTATCTTCCACAAAAAAAAAAAAAATTTGGGTATCCTAATATAAGAAATCCACTCTGAGTCAAAGACATGGTGTGATAAAATTGGATATCATTACTCCGTACTTGAAGCTCAAATGCATAATTAGGGAACAAAACTAGACCAATCAATCTATGGGCTTCCATTACAAGACATTGTCTCTCCAAATATAGCAAATGCATAGAAAAATTCATAATAAATTTAGTGGTATTTAACAAACTATAGAGAGTTTTGTGGAGAGCCTCTCAGATGGCCATTGGCTTCTCTGGCTTTTCCCCGCAATATAACAACCCCCTCAAGGTCACATCTCCTTCCAGCTCCTATAAGCAGCAGCCTAGGGGGCTCTTCATGGTTGAGTGACATTCCCAATAATAGGTCTCAAGATGAAGGCCCCCCCAGGTTGCCTCATTTTGCTATCTATTCTTCTCTCCTCTTCTTTCTCTTCCTTTTCTTTGGCTCTCTCTGATGGCGAAGCATCCACCATTGCTCGTCACCAGCTCTTAGCGTTAGGCAACTACGGTGAAGTGCCTCGCGGAGATTACAAGCCTTATTTCGAATACAATATCACATTTCCCAATTCTAGGCTTAAGAATGCCTACATCGCGCTACAATCTTGGAAGAAGCAGGCCATCTACTCCGACCCTAAGAACTTTACTAGCAATTGGGTAGGTGGAGATGTGTGCAAATATCAAGGTGTGTTTTGTGCACAGGCTCCAGATGATCCGAAGCTCACTGTCGTGGCCGGAATTGATCTCAACCATGCTGACATTGCCGGATACCTCCCAGCTGAATTGGGGCTTCTGACTGACCTCGCGGTCTTCCACATTAACTCTAACAGGTTTTGTGGGATCATCCCTGATACAATCTCCAAGCTTACCCTTTTGCACGAGCTTGATGTTAGCAACAACAGGCTTGTTGGCCAATTCCCGAGCATTGTTACCACCTTGAAACAGCTCAAGTACCTTGATCTTAGGTACAATAACTTTGAGGGCGACTTGCCTCATGACCTCTTCCATATGCCTCTTGATGCCTTGTTCTTGAACCACAATCGATTCTCGTCTAGCATTCCTGAAAACATTGGCAACTCCACGGTGTCCGTTTTGGTGATGGCCAACAACAACTTCTGCGGCTGTATTCCTGCTGGCATTATCAACATGCCAAACCTCGACGAACTCATCATCTCCAACAGTGGGCTTCAAGGTTGTTTGCCACCAGAGGTTGGAAATATGAAGGCTAAGGTCATCAGTTTTTCATCAAACATGTTTACTGGTATATTGCCTAAGAGTTTGTCCAATCTCAAGAATGTTGAGAAATTGGACCTCTCCAACAACAATTTAACAGGTGTGGCGATGGACAACATTTGCCGCTTGCCTACCTTGAAGAGCTTCAATTTTGCTAATAACTTCTTTAATGGTGAGGACAATGGGTGTGACCCAACATCAAGAAAGGACATTTTTATTGATGACACAAACAATTGTGTGCCTGCTCGTCCCAAGCAAAAGTCCCAACAAACATGCGCTGAGGTTGTGAACAAGCCAGTTGATTGCAGTAAGGTCAAGTTGTGTAGTAAACCACAGTTCCCTGTGGTCGAAAAGCCACAGCCACCACCGGCTCCACAGTCACCACCACCAACTCCAAAGCCACAACCACCACCGGCTCCAAAGGCACAGCCACCACCGGCTCCACAGTCACCGCCACCAACTCCAAAGCCACAACCACCACCTCCTGTCCAGTCTCCCCCACCAACCCCGAAGCCGCAATCACCACCTCCTGTTGTCTACTCTCCCCCACCACCAGTCCAATTTTCCCCGCCACCACAAGTTAAACCTCCACCACCACCATCTCCATCTGTAAACCTCCCACCTGCGCCAGCAGATGAATTTATTCTGCCACCTATCATCGGAGCCACCTACCCATCACCACCTCCACCAAGTATCCCAGGCTATACCTAAATATATGGTGCAGTTTTGATCACTTCCTCCTCCTACCTTTTCACAATGTTGCCCTACACAACTACATATGGTTGGTGATGATAGAGCTTTCTTGTTCAGTAATTTATACATCAAAAGGCACGAGCAACAAAATGTAACTGTGATATTAAAGATTGATATTGTATTTGGAATACTCTGTTTTCTCTGTTGATTGTTTTTGATTGATTATTATTGATGATGTGTGAATAGAGCAAATCAACACATTAGATGAGCCATTTATGGGATCTTGTTGGTACATGCTCAATCCTTAGCTTTCATATAAGATGGGATTGCTTTGCTTTTGCTCCATATAATTATATATATCTATACTACTAATAAAAGTGATTCATGATGAGCTCAAGCTCGACTCTTGAGCTCTTAAAATGAATTATATAAAAATTTTCCCTTTATATTTTGTTACTTATGTTATGAATAAATAATTATGAAACCTACAACAATTATAAATAAAACATATAAGACAGCATTTAAGAATCAAAACCACGAGTCAGGACAAGTTCAAATTCAACTCATTTACTTAATACATTAATTGTTGGTTGAATAAGTTGACCCAAATTATTTGATGAACAGAGATAATTCCCTTCAACAAGTACAGCAGCTATATAACTTATATATAGAGAAATGACAAAATTGCAAAGCAACAAATATATGGTAACAAAAATTTCGTTTGAAGTACGTAAAAACCCAATATATGCATTAAAAAGTTGCAACTGAACCACTAAAGATATCACCCCACCAGGGCTTGTCAGTCTCATCATCAAGGAAATACATCATGAAGAGATGGCTCAAGGCAAGGATCCTCCAATAGTGATGACAAATCCTCCGTAAGTCCGTGATCCAGACAATTTTGGAGAGGCTCTGCAAAATTACTTTGGGGATTGTTGAACTGATCAAAGCTAACAGAATCAAGAACTTGTGTGGTTTGGAGAGGCTGATCAAAACAATTTTCGAGAAGCTCTGCATAATAACTTTGGTGATTGTTGAACTGATCAAAGCTAAGAGAATCAAGAAATTGTGTGGTTTGGAGAGGCTGATCAAAACCAAATGCACAAGTACCATAGGTGTTGAAATTTGCCATATTATCCATTTCAGCAACTGTTTCTTCAGATGTCAATGCAGTGGAGTTGTTTCCAGCTGAGCTTATGATCATGGGTTGTTCAATGTCTTCATTTATTCCACTGTAATGATCCGTGTCCATTTCAGTGGGCTCAGACTCAGTTTCTTCAGATGTTGCTCTCATGATTGGTTGTTCAATATTGTCGTGATTTCGATTTCTGTCTTTTTCCTTCTTGTAAATCTTGCATAAAACCCATTCATCAAGCTGAAAGAAATTAAGAAAGATAAGTGTATGAAGCTTAATCAAAATATATATATATATATATATATATAGATATATGTATATGGACAGACAAAAACATATTGAGATAGTTATGCATATATATACACGTACCCTTGAGTTATTTTGTTCCCTTTGAGTAGTGGAAGGACTATATAATGTAAATTCTTGCATAAGCCACGATGTTTTGTTTTTGTTTTGAGCATTTCCTTGGTAGAATGCCAATGCCTTTCTATTTCCAATTTTGCGGCCATTAAACTTGACAACCTTATCAGCAGATGTTGCCCTCCAGAATCCATTCCCTGCAGTCCTATTTGGTCTTTTTCCATTTGGATACTTTCTGTCTCTTTGTGTGAAAAAATACCATTCCTTTTCTCCTTGAGCTTGGTAATTCACTGTTAATTTGAAAAATGCATGCATGTTAAAATTATACATAACGTACGCGCGCGTGTGTGAGTGAGGGAGAGAGAACATAATTAATTTGAAGACTACGATATCACAAAAGCCCATGTCACAGAAAATGGAACATGAAGAAGTTGAAGGAGACACCTTCAATTAGAGCAAAAGAAAAAGAAAAAAAAAATGTTCAAGGACGTTAATAGCAATAAAAAGGTTACTACTTTTTTTTCTTTTTTAATTTCTGTTATATATGTGTGTGTGTGTGTATAGTCTATAAAATCCTAAAAACCACTATAAACCTAAAACCACTATGAAACCCTAAAACCACTATAAAAATCCTAAAAACCATTATAAAACCCTAAAACCACTATGAACTAAAACCACTATAAAAAAATCTACAATAAAAATCCAACGAAACTGATAATATGCACACTGCGAGCAAATTTATGATCATAATGAAAATATGAGAAAAACAATAAAATACTATAACTGTACGTAGTATAACAAATTGAAACATGAACTTAAAAAATAATAAATAATAAATAAACACCAAAAATTAGATATATAGAAATCAATCTAATAAATTAACCATCGATACAGGTTTCAAGATTTATTAAAAAGAAGAAAACTAAACATATAATCAAACATAAGAAAAGATTGAGAACCTAAAAGTACTAGTGTTACATGACAGACAACAAAAATTAAATAAATAAATAAACACCAAAATTAGATACGTAGAAAGTAAGCAACCTAATATTAACAATAATTAATTAATCAGATCTATTCCTAAAAAATTAACCATATATTCTTGTTTCAAGATTTATGAATTAAAAGCAAATAAAACTAAAACATATATATAATCTATGGCAAAAAATAAATAAATATATATGTATAGATATAAACCTGCAAGTTCATCCGGAGTGTATCTATAGAAATCGACTTCGTGGATCCTGTTGGGCGGTAAGATTAGGTTCTTCACTTTTCTTCTCAAGTAATATTCGACCAGCTCTTCATCATAAGGCCGAAAACGATAACCAGGTGGAAAAGAATCTAAATCACCACCATGTTCATCATCACCACCATTAATGTCCTCGTTGATCAAAAATGAATTAGGACGTTGTTCTTGTTGACTTCTTGCAGTACTGTTTAATAGTTGCGGTTGACTTCTTGGACTGCCACTTTGTCTGATCACTTGGTTCTGCATTGACGTAGGACTCGGAGAATGGAAGAATTCCCACAAACACGGAGAGGGCGTGAGAGAGAGAGAGAGTTAATGCTTCATCAGGTTCAACTTTGTTGCGTGAGATGGATGGATAGATATATATACATATAGAATTAGGGTTGCAAATATCAATGGGCTGGTTCGTTGAGCAAATAAGTCAACTTGAGCCCGATTTCTAGGCTCGTTTATATTCGTTAACTTAAGTTTGCATATATTCGTCAATCCGAGTTCAGTTTTTTGAACTCTTCACGATCTCGAGTTGTGCTTAGAACAAAGGACTTGGCCCGAGCAAATAAAACCTCGGGCTCACTCCGTTCTTTTGCAAAAATGGGCCCAAATTTGGTTCATTTACTCAACAAACGAACTCGAGCCGAACCATTGATATACATATATACATATATATATACACATATATACGTATATCTATCTCATGCAACGAAAATGAAGTGGCGCATAACAAATCCAAATGAGTTAACAGAGTCTTCGACTTGGGCCTTATTTCAGAAGGCTCTGTACACCCAGAATTCACCCTCACCAGGCCTTTCAGAATTGGGCCTTTAGATTCGAAGGGTTTTGTACTGAATTGGGCCTCTCTATAAAGTTTTTTAAATTAAATCCTTTTACAATTTTATAAGAGCAGTGTCACTCCAATAAAAAAATTATTATTACACAGCATCATTTTCATTTTTACCAATTCGAATTCTCAATCACCACTCTAATAATTTTAATTTTTTTCAAAGTAAACAAACATAAGTTACTAAACATCGTGAACCAAAAAATAGCATATGGGTAATTTTTTAAATGACATAATGTGGGGATCCACATTAGTTACAATAATAACAATAATATTATTAATAATAATAATTTGATAGTGTTCTCTAAAATTTGAAGTCATTATAATGAAATTTTAAAATAAATATGAGAGGATTATGAACCGTGTGGTACATTAGGTTAATTTCTTCATCAAAACTTTATTATTTACAGGCACTTGATTTTGATGATGTGGCACATTTATATAAGGGAAAATTACATATAAATGGAGTCAAAGTTTCATATTTACTTAGAGGCTGAGTCAAAGTTCCATATTTCTCTAAAATGGATTGCTGAGGTGGCACATGGTTTTTTACTGTTTAGAAATTGTGGTGCCTAAAATACCCTTCCGCGAAGGTACTACTTTTTCTTCGAAGGTATTACTTTTTCGAACGGAAGGTACTACTTTTTAGCGTCCAGGTACCATGTTTTTTAAACATCCGCGAAGGTACTACTTTTTCTCCGAAGGTACTACTTTTTTTAACTGAAGGTACTACTTTTTTGCACTGAAGGTACTACTTTTTTGTTAGAGAATGGCATTTTAGGCACCACAATTTTCTAAACAGTAAAAAACCATGTGCCACCTCAGTAATCCATTTTAGAGAAATATGGAATTTTGACTCAGTCTCTAAGTAAATATGGAACTTTGACTCCATTTATATGTAATTTTTCTTTTATATAACCAATGACAAAGAAAATTATACGAACCATATTCACGAATATAAAAAAGCACGAACTTGGTAATAATTTTTCTATTAAAGTTTATATGTAGCACATTTGTATCCGCATCTAATGCAACGGGTCATATTTTCTTGACAGCTCTGGGTGTGTTTGTTGTAATCTTGGGCCTTGGGTCTAAGTGTCCATGGGTTACTTTGTAATGCTTGTTAGCATTGGGCTAACTTTGGGGCTGTAAATATGTTAATATTTAAAGTCTATAAAATTGAATTTACCTTTCAAAAAAAAAAAAAAAAAAACTTTTGCAGTCATACTTTTGAAAATTATTATTTTTTCATTTCAAGTCGTAAATCACTAAATTTTTCAGAGGGTCATATTTTCTTGACAGCTCTGGGTGGGTTTGTTGTAATCTTGGGCCTTGGGTCTAAGTGTCCATGGGTTACTTTGAAATGCTTGTTAGCATTGGGCTAACTTTGGGGCTGTAAATATGTTAATATTTAAAGTCTATAAAATTGAATTTACCTTTCAAAAAAAAAAAAAAAAAACTTTTGCAGTCATACTTTTGAAAATTATTATTTTTTCATTTCAAGTCGTAAATCACTAAATTTTTCAGAAAGTAAGTTCTTAAGATCTCGTTTTCGAATCACACTCTTAACTTGATAGTGCGTGTGTTGGGGGACCGATACACGTGTTCTAAAGAAAA